GTGTGTGTGTGAGTGTGTGTCTGTGTGTGTGTGCCAGGATCTCAGGTGTGTGCCAGGTGTGTACACACTCTGTGTGTTCTGCACGCCCCTGCTCTGGCAGAGGAGCTGGGGATGTGGCAGTGCCCAGCCTGGCCGTGGTCCCACGGTCTGGGTGAGCTGTGTCCATGTAGGGAGAGGACTGAAGGTTTGTGCCCTGATTCCGACAGACTCAAAACAGGAGGTGTCAGGCTTGGCACAGCTTTCCTGACTCATGGCCTCAGCCATGAACAATAACATATGTCTCAACCTGCTGGCAGCTGCACTGAGCTCAAGCAGGAGCTCGGTGCCAGCCAACAGGAGTTGTATTTTTTGCCAGTATATGTGACCACGAAACAGGGCAATAAAGGCTTTTAAGTTTTTCCATTCCTTTTTATTTATTTCTGTAGGCTGTAGTAAGGGACCATTTCTTTAAAACCCTTAGACATTTGGACATATTTTACAAGACAGTACAGTTTCTGAATGTCACACATTGATCACAGTTTCATACTATTACATGCATATAAAGACACAGATTTTTTTTTAATAGTTTGTTTTACAGAAACAACTGGAGAGGTCAATAAACTTCAACAAAGAATGACTAAATCAAAGTTACAAAAAATGTAAGACTCTAAGTACACTAGAATATGGCTAATGTTGCTGTAATGACCCCAAAGTGCCAGGGCATTGAAACATTTCTTAAAAGGGAAGAAAACATCTGCTGGTGCATTGGACCAAGATAATAGATGAATTGAGTGAATTCCAATATAACCCAATGAGGAGATTGTGCAAGGCATGCAGGATCTGCTGGGCTGTCAGGCACGAGCAATGGCCTTTCTTACAGATACGCTGAGCAGGCCTCACCAATGATTCCCCCTTGCACAGGTTAAAAATGAATTCAGTGCAAGGCAATGGAGAAACCAGTCCTGTCTTAACTTTCAGGGTCACAGTCAGTTTCAGTTTCCAGCTATAAAAACAATTCGATCTAAATGTTCCAGCAGAGCCACAGAAAACACATTTTCCAGTTTTTATTCGTTGTTACATATCGCTTTCTTTTTTAAAAGGACCCCCACAGCTTTCCTATCCTTCAGTGACAATGGGTGCTTACGGCTGCCTTTGGGGAGGTCACTGGAAGCCTTTGCCTGGGCTCAGGGGCTCTGCAGGTCCTGGGCTTTTGGAGAAGGAGTCCGGGCTGGTCCCCGGCGCCCCTGGGCATGGAGATATCACTGGGCAGCGATGCTTCACTGGCCTGACAAGAGAGCAGGATTCTGCTGTAGGAAGCAGGGGTGTATTTTTTTAATGCCAATCTTGTTGGAAGGCGAGTTTGGTTGGTAGCTGTGGCTGGCCTTTCTGAATACAGTATCATGGCTTCAAAGTTCAAAGTAAAATGGAGATGCTGCTCCCCCACCCTTCCCTCAAACACACCAGTGGGGAATGGTTCAATGCAAAAGTAATTTTCTGCACTGACCACCAAAAAGCCAGAGAATGGGGGAAAAAATGTTACTCACAAGCCAACAAAACTGATATAAAAAAAATAAATCCCAAGGGTTGCAGGAGCCAATGTGTGGTGAACAGTATGTGGAGGCAGTACAACATAACAGGAAGAAAAGTCATAAATGGCAGAGCTCCTAAATGAAAAACACAGAGAAGAATGGATGAACGGTCTTAAATGTAGATTACCAACAGGACCAGAGGTTGTGCCACAATTCAAAGTAGCCCATGGCCCATCTGCTGGCAGTGTCCTCCAGCTTCAGCAAGTGCCTGGACCGGGGGCAGAGAATGTTGAACTGTGGGGCTGAGGTTGGGATCCTGCTGGAGGGACAGTCACCTGTGAGGCTGAGATGCCACCTGTGGCATCAAGTCCACAAAGAGTGAGCTGCCGTGGAGGGATGCTCAGTCATGCCTGGAATGACTGTCACCCTCTTGCCTGAAGGATTCGCCCCTTTCCCAGGCTTGCCCCGCCTCTGTTTCCCATTCCCTCACTCCAGTGGTTTCCAAGGAGGTGCTGTGGGCAGACACCTCCAGCCCTGAGGCCATACAAAGCTATTAATTTTCCATTAGCTTTTAGAGATAGGGGTCCAAATTCTTTACTGATCTAAAGGGGGCACAGCTCCATTGGCCTCAATGGGCTTTAACTTACAGCAGCAAAGAATTTGGCATTTCGTATAAATTTGGCTCCCTGGCTTTCATGAGGCTCTAGTTTTGAGGGGTCTTTGTATGGGGTTCAGTTTTATTATTAATTTTTGAAGGTAGCGTCACTGGAGTCTTAGAAAGCCCCCTTTAAAAATAAAGGTTAATCCTTGTTCAGTCCTACAGGGCATCAACAGTATTATTTGTAGTTAAAAGGAAGCAGGAAGGTTTTACTTTCTCTTCTGAGCCTCTAAGACTGAAAAGCAAAATTTGGAGTACTATTTACAGATATGAACACTTGTGGCACCCAGCCGTTGGTGTCAAAGGACACTTCTTGTGGCTTAGGTAACACCAGCAACGACTGGGAGGGACATCCTGGATGCAGACTATCAGTTTTCCTTAGGTTTCCTTTGCCTGGCCAAGGCAAAGTTTCAGTGCAAGAGCCTAAATGTGATCAGCATGAGGTGGGAGATGCATGCTGGAAAATAAACATCTCTTCTTCAAGGGGCTGGATGGTATTTGGGACATTCCTGTCCTGGTGTGGGAATGCAAAGTTAAGAGTGGTCTGACTAGAAGTTTTCTATGGTTTTGTTGACTATGCTGTAACAAACTTGCTGACATGGAAGGTGCTTTCTGAAGGCACCTGATGATAGATATGGCAGCCTATTGCATCAATTGCTTCCTAAGAAAGAAAAATCCCACCCAACTTGAATACCTTCCTTCGTGAACAGATCTTGCTGATAATCACATGCAAAACTGGGTCTACTGGTTATTCCTTCCATTCAAGGGATACCTGGACTTTCTGAAACACACACCTTTCCAAATTACATCTGTTTCAGGTTTATTGGCTATTATGGTGGACATGTAAGAAAATCTCACAAAAGAACAAAAGAAAATGGAACCAAAAGTCCATCTTTGGCAATAGCATGGTCACTGACCAAACTGCTGGGTCAAATCAGAAGGAAATGTCTGTCCAGAGCTAAAATGGCTCTGAAGCTCTTCATCTGCTGAACTTCAACAGGCCATGAGATAGCTTCAGGATGACCATTTATCTCATGGACATTTTATCAAATTTCTGTGAATTTGATACAGGTACCTGGACAGATTTTACCATAACTAAATCAAAATCTGGTCCCTTTCTGAATGTTTACATTTCTCATTCTTCCACATTTTTTTCTCACTTCCTGATTTTCTCTGGGACCAAAAATAAAAATTCTAAAACCCAGTGGGAAATGAATGTCTGGAGACTTCTGTTTTAATCCAGGAAAACTTCACTGAGGGTGCCTGAGCATTGTCAGGTCGTTGCCTTGAATAACAGCCTAGATTTTGATGCTTATCCCAACTCCATCATGTCACTATCAGAACAATTAGATTCAAAACCTGTCTCTTCTTTCTGTTCTCAGCGTAACCGATGTAAATCTGGAGAAACTGCAGCCAGGGGTGTGGGGTGACCTTTCCCCTGCTGTCACCAAGGGCAGAGTCTGGCCTGCTCCACATTTCTCAGCAGGAACATCTCAGTTCCCACAGCCAGTCCCTGGTTAAAGTACTACAAACGGGAAAATACGAAAACATGACAACATCAGACAAATCCCTTTCACAGATGCACGTCCAGGAGGAATGTTGCAGGTGTTTATCAGAAAAAAAGAAAAGAACAACAACAAAAAAGGTTGGGGGATCAGCTGTGTAAATGAACACTGAGAGAGCATCTAATATATTATTCTGTAATACAAAAAGAAGAAATCTGACTTGATTGCCCTATTATAAATTTGCTAAAAATACAGATATATATTTATATTTTTATATATATATATAATTTTTTTTAAATCTGAACAGAAAAATAGACTACTCTGGAATGCATGAAAGTCACATGACTTTTCCATACATCAGATACTTATAAAGCCAACACAATGGCAAGCAGGAGGTACAGAGGTAACTAGAACATCTGTACTTTATTCAAGAACTATTTAAAGCCATATTCTCCCCAAGTGGATGATCCAGATGAACCCAAGGTAGCACTTGTTGTGTGCAGAAGTGACTGACCAAACATGGAGGAGCTGGGGCAGGTTTGGAGCCCCAGGGAAGCCCATCTTGCTGGAGGGCACCGGCACCTCACGGCCTCCTTTGCTCGACTGCTTCACTCAGGAATTGCAGGGTTTGCTTTAGAATGAGTGTTCTGTGGAGCTTACCAACAGAGAGAACGTGGCTTTAGAAACCTTGTCTTTGTGATGAGTTTTACACAACCTTGTTATTTACTATAAACTGTACCGGTCATAATTCCGTCAAGACATAAATATACAGTAGGTACAAATATTAACAGTACATTACAATTTTACAGAAGAGAATACTGTTTTCCTTAGAAATGTGTATCTTATTAGCTGCAAGGGAAGAAAAGGCTACAGTTTATCACAGCCATAGTTGCCAAACAACCTGACCACCTCAGATGTGTTTCTCATGACTTGCCCAGGCAGATATTCCCCGGCATTTGACACACAGCATGTTCAGGAAGGGAATGTGCATTCCATGGATTTCTTTTCCTCTCGCTTCCTTTTTTTTTTTTTTTCCTTCTTTTCTCTGCCTTTTTTTTGACTCTCAAACCTTTCAGAAAAATGTAGATTCATAGAAGACTCTTGTTTTGGGTTGGGTTTTTTTTCTGTAAGTGTGCTTAGGTGAAGTTTTTAAGGAAAGGCACTGAGAAATCTACTGCAAAGTCACTGTTTTTTTCCTCTGTTCAAGGCTAAAACTCAAAGAATCTTTAGCCTTCTGGTTAAGAAAAGTGCACCCTCTCCTTACACACACACACACACACACACACACATACATACATATATATATATATATATATATATATATATATATGTATGTTCTATATATATATTTATAGGTATGTGTTAAAAGTGATGTTGATGGCATAAGATACAAGCAAGTGCAGACATCACACATCCAGAGAGAGTCCTTTCAGGTATGATGTCTTCTGCAGCAGCAGGTGAGGCTCTGTCAGCTTGCTTGCTACTTGGTGCACAGTAAATTTGCAGACCTGAATGCCAAATATCAGTGATTAAACCATACGCTTTAGCTTGATGCAAGAGATGTTGCCTATTTTCCCCAACCGCTATGAACTTTGGGAAACATGTATCAAATAAACAAAAATTAAATTGTCTTTCTAGGATCTATAGGATTTGGTGAGCATTATGTTTTCGAAGCACTGCCTTCCCTTTGCAATGACTACAGATTTAGCCATAAATATTTTACCATAGCTTTAGGTTAGAGTAGATTTCCCAGTGCTTACATTATATATATGTGTATTATGCACCCAAACACATATATAGATACATTGTAGTCAGACTTTATTTCATTAAAACAAATTAAACATACTTCCTTTTTAACTGGGCATAGAATGAGAGTTACATCTTTGTACACAAATATGAAAGAAATGCTCTTTAAGCATATTATATGCTTAATTTTAAATTATTTGCTTTCTATAAGAAATCTATAGGACTTTGGCTATTCAGACTTAAAAGGAAGATTTTTTAATGATACTTTTGAATTTGGCTTTCAAAAGTGACTCAGTAAAATGCTACTTTAAAGGTAGGACTAAATAGATGACATAAGGTGTGTGTCATGAGTGATCACGCAAGGCAGACAGAGGGCCTTTGGTTACAAGGAGAGTTGCACCAGTTGACTGTCAGATAAAAAATGATAGGATCGTTGATTTATACATTTTTGTCAGTGCCATCTATAAACCAAATACATCAATTTGGATGAGAGTGCGGTAAATACTACATTATATGGCTATATTTAAATATGTTCACTTTCGCGATATGTAAAATATGACTTTTTTTTCCACATGAAAGCATCAGCTCTAAAAATATTTAACTTGGAAATCACTATTACTTCATAAAAAAAAAAATTCCCTGATTTTTCTTCGTTTTACATTTGTGCTGATGGCAGACATGACTGATCACTGAAACACAGAGATTATATTAGAACTGTTCTCTTTAAGATTTCTTGTTGCTGCTCTGTGGCCTCAGAAAGCCACAGCATAAATCAGTATTTAAAGCTTATCTACTGGAAAGTTACTTTTTACTTTTCGTGACGACTCAATCTTAACCAGTATCTCAGCAATACGTCGGTTCCTCTAAGTACACTTGTATTTGCTATGGCCGAATCCTACAGTCCTTCCCCAGGCAAAGCCCGCCCGAGGAACGGCGCTCCCGGCTGCGGGAGAAGGAGCGAGCGACCCTCGGGGCCGGCCCTGCCTGAGCACCCGGGGAGCTCCCGCAGCCGCGGGGCCGGCAACGACCGGGGCTCTCCCTGCCCTGCCCGGGGCTCTCCCTGCCCTGCCCGGGGCTCTCCCTGCCCTGCCCGGGGCTCTCCCTGCCCTCGGCCCAGCCCCAGCAGTGGCTCAGCTCCTCCCCGGCCTCTCCCTGCTGGGCCACCAGGGCGGCTCCGAGCGGGCCCCTGGGCCGTGTCCAGCCCGGGACGGGCCAGCAGAGCAGAGCAGGGTCACTGCAGCGTGGGCACAGCTCCGTGCCGAGGAGACACCTGGCAAAGCCATCCTCACAACCTACACTAGCTCCTAAAACAGAAATGTGCTTATTGCTTTTGTCCGTACATGCTGCATTCACTATTACGGGTTACAGACAGTGCTGCACGGCCGGGACGGACACACGGCTACATTCAGGACTAACCAACACTGGCTTTTTACAGTAGGAAGGAACAAAATGCAGTGGACTCGAGCGGCTTGCAGGGGCTCTTCCTCCCACGTGTGCCCCCCGCTCCCACGTCCCGTGTGTCAGCTCGTCCCGGAGCCGCTGCCTGCAGATTGCTACACACCCCGGCAGGACCTCAGGGACAGCTCAGGAAACGCTCAGTGACAGAGTTATTTACAGCTCAGTTTTACAGTAGAAACAGAGAACAACATAAAAGGTTACCATCACAGATATCACAGGACAAGGTGTGACTTGCTACAGGCGTGTAACAAATCACAGTCACAACAAGAGGCACAAATTAAAGTAGTGCTTGGTTAAAGTGCTTGATTGTTACACTCCGCTATCCTACTCCAGCATTGCAACAACGACAACAAAAAGTCAACGTAAAGTGCTTTCCCCCCCGCCCAGATTAAAAACCAAAGACAAATTATTTCCTACACAATTTGACATAACTTTATTGAAACAATAGTATTTTAAAAACCTAGGCTGGTGGCTGCTAGTTCTGTTCACTTAAAATGGTCAGATAGTTGTGTTTTTTTTTTTCTTTCCTCTTTATTTTCTTTCATTTAAAAATGACTGGATGTTATTAAAACGTCAGGCCTGATTCTCCTGCCTCTCGCAGCTGCTTCGTGCCACGGCCGTGCAGGAGCTTCTCCTGCCCGAGCTCCTGGCGAGAGGGAGCACAGCCAGGCCTGCGGCGGGTCACTAACGAATCCCTCTTTTTGCATATTTATGTAACACTTGCATATCTTCCACTGCGCTGCTTGGGCGCAAAAAGCCTCGCAGCAACCTGCTCCTGTGCTGCGGCCCCGGCGGGAGCGGAGCCGGGGCCGCACGGGCAGGGCGAGAGCCGCGCTCCCCTCCGGCCCCGGGCTGGGCTCTGCCGCGGTGCCTCGGAGCGTCCTGCTCCTGCATGGCTCCTCCGACCTTCCCCTGGCCCTGGGCGCCTACCGCCTCTTAGCAGAGGGTAAGCGCAAGTCTCACTATGTCTTGGGGCATATTTGGAATTAGGTACAAATGGTGCAACTCACCCTGCTGATATTTCAAATGAAAACATCAGGTCCTACAGGATATCGGACTGTTAAACACACAAAGAGCATTTTAATAATTGGTTTCTCTAGACCATTATTTGTTTCAAATGTTTTTCACTTGGATTTTCCAATAATGCAAGTGTTCCCTGTTACCTTTAAACATTATATCCATCAGAAAAAGCTGTAGATGGGGAACAGCTGCCCTGAAGCAGTGAGCATTGTGTTTTTGAAAGCTTTATACCAACCCCAGCAATTTATTCCAGAGTTCAAATCTGGCTGCCTTGGCATCCTTTATGGAACTAATGCAAATCAGATGTTAATATTTCCAAAAGGAGCTCTAGCGTTCAAGGGGAATGGATGGATATTTGGTCACATTGGCTTCACTGGACAACATGAAAGGAGATCAATGTGTGATCATGATTTGCAATCATTTTTTTGACTGATGTGGGCAATGTCTTTAGAGTTGTTTCAGAGAAGGACATTTTCACAAACCCACACTGGACCTCCCCCAGACTTTTAGAAACAGGTGGCTTGTTTCAGCCAAGTTCATGCCATGCAGAAGCTCTTTTGTTTGTGTTGACTGTGAAGATATTCCTTTAAACTCTCAGCAAGTTCTTTCAGACCCCACCTCAGATGCTTTGATCATGTGTGTTAGCATGTCCTCCGCTGCCTGGTAACACATGGACTTCTGGAGAAATGTGATTTTCTAGTCTGACAGTCTCCTGATTGCCGTGGGTTCTTCCAGTGATACCTTCCATAGAGTAAATGCAGTTCTGCCCTAACAGCTTAGGGGAGGTGGGTAAAGCAGCAGCTTCCAGATGGTTCTTCTCTGTTCTATAAACATGGTCCTTTTGCTTTAGATAGCCACTGTTTGCAACACTGTACTTGGGACTCCCATTTCCAGGCGGACTTGAATCATACATCAGCTGACCTTCATCATCAGTGTCAGCATCTATGTATTTGTGTATACCAGCATCATGGAAGTTGAAAGCTAGGGCTGCCTGGGACTCCGGTGACTTTGGGGGCGTTCTTGCACTCGCAGTTGTGTAGATCGAGGTTTCTGGGCTCATGAGAGACCTGTCAGAGAGTAAGGAAGTATCTGTGGCAGCAGCAGTCGCTCCCCGGCTCTTGAGAGGGTCTGGGTATGTTCTCAGTACATTTGATGATGGCACTAATGTGCTAGTGTCCTCTTCCATGAAGTTAACTTTCAGAGATCTTAGCTTTAAAGGGTTACTGGCCTTTATGGAGCTTTTGGGACTGTCAATGAAAAAAGCAGAACGGTGGCTGCTTTCAGAGCTAGGGTTCATTTCCACATACCTGGCACTGCTCCCCTCCGGCCTGCCCTGCTCCTGGATGATGTTGATGCCCCCCTTGCAGGGCAGGGCGGTGAGCGGGCTGTGTGAGAAGCGCCCGGTGTCGGGGAACTCGGCCGCACAGCTGATGAAGCTGTCGATGCTGGACATGCTCCTCATGTCAATGATCCCGTCAGTGCGAGTCGCCAGCAGCGGCACCATGGGGCCAGGAAGGGTTTCCATTTCTAGCTCTTCCTTCTGCTTTCCAGCTTGACTCGACTCTTTAGTGTTAAGGTTTGGCTGGGACTGAGTCTTTGCCATTTTGTTGTACATGTCCTCAAGCTGCTGCACATTCAGGTGTTGGGGACTTGAAGATGACCTGGCTTTTTCTGGGGATCCTTGTTCCTTAGTTTCAAAAGATTTACTAGAACTAGTTTCAGAGAGTGTTCTCTTGGTCCATTTCCATTTGCTTGGAGATAAATGATTGTCCTGAACTTTATCCTTTTTGGCTATGCTTTCTCCATTCTTTTCAACCACAATGTCCATGAGCTCTATGCTACGGGCAAAGGCATCCTTCATGTTCATGGAAACAATACTGCCATTTCTTTTTGCTCTTTCAAGAGCTTCCCTGCGCTTGATGGCTTTCTCCTGCCTCTTCTGCTCTTTGTAAAACTCTGAAAAATTATTGACAATAATTGGGATGGGAAGAGCTATCACCAGCACACCGGCAATGCAGCACAGTCCTCCTACTATTTTGCCCAAAAGAGTTTTAGGGTAAATGTCTCCATAGCCTACTGTTGTCATGGTGATTGTTGCCCACCAGAAAGAAGCAGGGATGCTCTTGAATTTTGTATCATCCTCATCCTTTTCTGCAAAAAACACTAAACTGGAGAAGATCATAATGCCCATAGCCAGAAACAAGATGAGTAATCCAAGTTCATTGTAACTCCTCCTCAGTGTAAACCCCAAGGACTGTAAACCAGTTGAGTGCCGGGCGAGTTTTAGAATCCGGAGTATCCTCATAATCCGAAATATTTGGACCACTCTTCGTACATTTTGGAACTGAAGTACACTTTTATTGGATTCTGTGAGGAAGATAGTAACATAGTAGGGTAAGATAGCCAGCAAATCTATAGCATTGAGCGGGCCTTTGAAAAACTTCCATTTCTTAGGGGAGGAGAGGAAGCGCAGGAGGTATTCCATTGTGAACCACGCAATGCACACCGCTTCCACGTGGGCAAGCTGGGGGTTATCTGTGGTCTGCCCAAATTCATCCACGCCTTGGAGTTCAGGAAGTGTATTAAGGGACAAGGCAATTGTAGATAGTACAATAAACATGATGGAAATGATTGCCAAAATCTGGAAAGGAGAAAGAAAACAGTGAGTTAATCTCAGAATACACAACACTGTCTCTCGCTGCCGTTAACGCATGGCTGTATTTTCACTCACATGTTGCAAGACCCATTTTGCTCAGTGCACAGAAGACAGATAACCAAGTTTATTTTGGAAGCTGTTTCAGTTATGGCAGATGCATGAAGGAGATAAAGCATCTACTTCGACTTCTGTGCTTTCATCTCCATGTAGTCAAGGAACATGTAAGGAACAGCTAGGATGCCAGGAGGGCTGTGAAGCAGTTCACAGCAGGAACTTTTGATTAACTACCAATTAGGTGCCCTACAAGGCCCATCTGGACAACAAGCTCTGAAATTTAAGCAAGAAGGAATGCAATTGTGAGTACATGATTCAGTCAGAGCAATGTCCACCATTTAATGAACGGTTACTGCTGTAATTTGGGGTGCTGATGGCTAATTATAGAGCTGTGTGTACAATTCTACTACATAAGCATACAAATAATACACATTTGTTTAATGACTCATCACTAATTTGATTCTTGGTGGTTGTGAAAAACATGGAAACTTCACCAAGCTTTCTAAGCCATTTTGAGTTTTCTGGAGGAGAGAGGAAGCATCTGAGCAAACCAAATTGGACAACACTAAGACAGCCAAGCAGGGGAAGCCGAGTCACTGGAGGCTTCACATGTCTCAAACTTAAGAGAATAAAATGTAAGTCAAGTGTCTCATGGTGAAGTGTGGGGAAATCTAGGTGTTAATTACTTCTGCATGGTGGCTTGTTTCAAAAGACCATCTCCTGGAGACCAGGTGCTACCCCTGAGAAGCAGAGAGCCTGATTTACTTTCCTAGAAGGCTCTTTTGGTGGTTTTGCTGTCATTTCTTCGTTTACAACCCATCATTTCTGAAGGTGTTTGGGATGTTTGCAATGGTAATTTCAATTAGTTTTGCTTGGCTTATCTCTGCCCACTATACACAGAAGGGCTTAGATGTGTGTACCTGTTGGGTTTTATCTCCTTCACTTTCAGTGTAAATATTAACGCTCCATCTTTATTCAGTGAATGGCATCCAGCAGCAGTAATTGGTGTCAAACCTTCAGTTTCCTTTGATATGCCCTCCTGCTTTGAAGATCAAGGCAATGCCAGATGAATATAAATAAATAAACTGAGATCTAAGGGTAAAATTTGGTTTTGGTTTAGGATATTTAGCCACAAAGCTAAGCAATAAACAGAGAGAGACATTTACAATCTCTCCCACAAGTTGCAGCACGATGTCACTTGTGCTCCCAAGATACAGATATTCTCCCTTACTCATCTACTGCAACTACATCTTTGGGTATCTTAGGCTAAGAAAAACTTCTAAATATTGATCGTCCTCAGTTATTCAAGGCACTTTCCAATTGGAAAGTACGTAAAACTGGGAGAGGAGTCTCCAGCAGGGTTTAGAAATCCTTTTCCTTCTGTAAGAGATACTTTGTCTTGGTAGCACCAACCATCCACTAAAAGCCACCCATGAAGCAGTTGTACACAGAAAAATGGATCCAGCTGTTGCTGTCAGGCTTTAGCACTACTCAGTTGCACAGGGCTCTGTCCCAAAGTATTTACAGTCTGGGATTTCAGATTATAGAAATCACCATCTGTCTCTCTAATAAGGTTTTCCATCTTGGCTGTACTGAACCTCTAGCCTGGCAGCTCTTGTATTTTCCACTGTCAGTAATGAGAGACAGAAAGCTGAAGGGAAGACATTTACACTCCCAGGGAGGCCTCTAGGGATGCTCTGCATCCCAGGCAGCCTTTTCATTCCATTCCTGGCCTTTTGTCCTCCCTTTACTCTTCCAAGTTCACTTCTCTTTAACAAGAAAATCTAATGGGACCAATTTGGTCTTGAGCAGAAACAATTCCTCTGCAGTGCATGAGGCTCCGGCTCTTACAAAACTGAGCCAGTTTTCCAGTCACTGTAAAAAAGCACCTGTGGTCCCTGGTCTAGAGCACTGACCCCACATCTCACTGCTTGTCCCACTGCTCACAGCTGCATTAAATGGAAGGAAGCATGGGAGAGGGCCTTCTCCTATGGCATTGATCTCCATGGTTCCTTACAAGGCACTGAACGTGGCCTTGTGCTCATGAGAACTCTGGATGGGCAATCAAAGAGCTGAGGGTGAACAGGCTCAGGCACAGGAAGGTCCCTAGAGCTCAGGCTTGGACTGGCAGAAGGAACAGGGATGGGAAAGGTCAGCATCAGAGGCCTGTTAGATTTTGTGAGTGCTGCTGAAATGTCCATGTTCCCACTAACAGAGCAAGCTGTACCTCTCCCAGGTCTGGCTGCTGGCCTATCTGGCGTATGTGGGCTGTTTATTGGGACTGGGGAAGGCACCTCCAGCATCCCTGCAGGAACATCCAGAGCTGCTGACTTGGATGGCCATATTTGGTCCTATAAAACACATAACTAAAACTGGGAAAGCTTGCAGCCTAACATTCAGAAGCATAGGAAAAAGTCAGGAGTCACAAATAGCTAAAATGAGTGATGTGAGGACATGTTTGTGACACAGGCAGGTGCAGGAGTCCCTGTATTGTGGAGCCACAATTATGACGAGTGTTCCCCACATGTTGGCTCTATATGAGCTGAAGACAGGAGCCCCGACAGACCAGGCTGGACTGGACAGGCATCCTCAGCAGAGCAGCACAGACATCCCTTCAGCTGCTCATAAAGCTGACAGGGGTTGAGATTGGTCTTTCCCCCACACAACTTTCAGACCACTTTCACTAACAGCTTGCATAAAAGAAGCTCTGCAGTCCCCTTCCTCCTTACTTCTGTATTTACTCTTGTGTTTCACCTGTAGCAATACACCAGCAATTGTGAAAATCCCCTCAGGTACTTTGTTTTACCAGGTTATTTGCAGAAGGTGTTGGAAGGACTCCTAATGATGGCCCTGGCTTGTGGTGCAAGTTTCAGTATGTGCAGGATTTCAGGAAAAAACTTCTCCGCTAAATCAGCCCTTTCACAAAGGTTTTTGTGGAGTGAATCTCTGGATTGCTGCTGTGATTCCTTTGTGGAAGATAAACAACCCAAGGACGGGCAGGGTTCTGGATGAATTTAAAGCAGTTGCCTCAAAGTGATTAGCATGGTTGTACACACATGCTGGTTATTACACATGCAAATGAGACAAGCACGCTGATTTTGGGAGCAAGCATAGCCAGTTTGTGCAACTGCTGTTTCCTGAGGCAAGATGGATGTGCCATGCTGGCAAAGCTTTTAATCCCCACCTCCTCCAAAATCCTCCCCAAAACAAGGCAGACCACCTCTACCTGGCACCTTTCAGGAAACAACCACCTGCCCTGGGCCTGATCCTGCTCGCTGGGTGAGAGTGGCCCCAGAGATTCCTCCTTTGTGCTGGCAAGGTCTGTGCTCATCGCTGGGGGAAGAGGGCTCCTCCCTGCTCAGAAGTTTCCCATCTCTTTGCAGCAGCAGTTTGTGTGTTCACCCCGCAGGTGGCACAGAGAGGGGTGAGTTTTGGGCTGCAGGGACTAACCCAGTATTGAGGTTTGGTGATATTTATTGCTTAGTTGTTTTCTTTGCACTACTAAAAACCCTAACAGAGATAAAGGCATAAGACAGGAGACTTTCGAGGCCATTAAAATTTATGAGAACTGGCTGTCCCAATCCCATAGATGGCTCTAAAATCTCAGGGTAAGCATCCAAGATCTCTCTGCTGTGGCAACATGCCCTATACTTTTTCTGTCTTCATACTCAGTAATGAAGCTGATATAGCAAGGAGAAGGGGTGGTGTGTGGGAGAGAGTAGGAGGGTGTTTGAATATAGATATGATATTCTTGGAAATACGATGAGGAAATTGTTATGTAATCAAGAAGTTCAATAATGGTTTTGTCTAATGTGCTTTTTTAGCTCCATCAAGGCCTGCAGAATAAATTTGGCATCAGGACCAGGTTTCATTCATGTGCTCCATTTACTCAGGGATTTTATCTGCAGCCCCTCTGCTTTCCCAAGCTACAATACACTTTGAGTCAGACTGTCCAGCTCCATCCTGCCACGCCTATGCCAGCCTCTGTCTCCTCAGGCTCTGAGAAACAGAGAGCACAGTGTATTTTGAGCGATATCCCACGTGCTGTACAGTGCAGAAACAGATGGAGAGTTCCTTAATCTCCTCCCCACTTGATTCTGCACAGGAATAACATCTCCTGCTCACAGCAGCTATACATGTCTGCGGTATTTATTGACAGGGACTTGTTTTAGGAAACATCTCTTCAATAGAAGATGCCTATTTATTCATAAACTGAAAGAGTTTGCAGAACACAGTCACTTCTGATGTCAAGATTCTGACCACTGGGCTTGCAGGGTGTTTTTTCTAGAAAATGCTGAAGCCATAATGAAAGGTAACACTTACTTCTTGCATCATAGCAAGTTGAGGCCGAAGTGGGGAATAGTTGCAAGGCAAGTACAGAGAACCTTTAATCTGCTTTTTTCTCATGGAAAGATGTTAAGATGTAACGTAAGACCTTGAATCTCCAAACCCCTTAAGTCCTACTGGTTCCTGTGGAGTATAAACCTCTGCTTAGGAGCTTTCCCTGACCTGGCACTTTATGTGTCACTCCAAGGTGCTGCCCCCGCAGGTCCTTGGGAACGCTCTGCCCCAGGAGCTCGGAGCTCAGAGGGGCCCCTGCCCCACAGCTCAGCTCCCTGTGCTGCCCCAGGCACTGTGCACTCCATCTCTAGGAAGGCAAACCCCTACACTCCTCTGCAACCACTACTGCACAGCAGAGCATCCATAAAAACAGAATCAAGATAAAGCCACTTATATTTTGCTTTGGAAACATATGAGATCTTAATTTTGACATTTGCCTGGAAAAGCCAAGGTTGAATAATGCTTAATTATTTGATTTCAATTATAGCTGTAATAAGTTTATCTGTTGAGAGAGTAAGCCTGTTTAGTTTAAAAGAGGATACAACGCTTCTGCTGATTCTGTGTCAATGCTTTGTTTGCCTACAGGCACCCAAAGAGCTGCAGCTACAACTGCTGCTGACTAAGGTATAGTGGGCAGAAAGTTGCCTTCAGGCACAGCTGGCTGTAAACTCGTTAATACTCTTAAGAACATGTTTAGTTGTCAGAGAGCTATCAAACCCCATTAAATGATAAATGGTGTCAGTCTTCTTTCAGAGCAAAGCCCAGATGCAAATGGTGTGCTGGAGAAGAGAATTATACATGAATGAAAATACTGAAAAGGCAAACTTGAAAGACATACACTGTCTTTAGACATCAGTGCAGTGACAGCTCTCAAGAGAGGATGAGAGGGGAAGCATGTCCTATTTCTGCTGCTGCTAGCATGGGGGAAATCAAAAAAAGAAAACAAATGAATGGCACATGGAAGCTGAAGTTTCCCGTTTTTCTCTTGGCCTTGCCTTGTGCCCAGGATGATGCAATCCCAGCAAGCAGCACTGCTGGGAGACATCCAGCCCCTGATGTCTGGAGAGGCTGCCTGGAACCCAGGCTGGGCACCCCCACAGCCCTGGACACACCCAGAGCTCTTGTGTGTCCTCCCTGCACATCCTTGTAGACAAACCTTGCGGCCATTCTTCAGCTGAGCCGGGGTCTCACCTGAGACTGCTGCCACCATCAACCCCCTTTCCCAGCCTCTTGGACTCTGCTGTCTTCATCTTGCTCACACATTCCTGCCCTTTGTGCTGTGCAGGTGCTGCTCTTGGAGCACAGAGGTCGGGATGGCAGAGTGGCACTACACAGCCCAGCCTTTCCCTGGAAGACAGCGAGAGACCCAGACCCGGCTGGAGCTTCCCCCTGTGCCCAGAGCATCCCACCTGCCCTGCATCCCTGCTCAGCAGCTGCTCTGGGGCCAGGCTCCCGACCCCTGCACTGACAAAACCTTCTCTAGTGTGGGGCTCTCCTCTCATCTCCCATTCCCACCATCTGTCTTGCATTCAAGCGGACAGAGGTTTGGATTCAGAAAAGGCAAATATGTAAAGCAAAAATATAAAGCAAAAATAAAGACTGCCTTCCACCTCAGCACTGGTGAGTGTTTGGGAACAGCTCTTAAGATGCCTTTGGGATTTTACCCTTCACCAGGGAGAGACGATGCTCGTGATCGACACCCACCATGCAAAGCAGTCTGCTCAGCCTCAGACACTATTTACAGGGGATGCTGAGCTCAAAGTGTTGGTGTTTGCAGGAGTAGTTGTGGGAGGGTTTTTTTTAATGGTTAAATTCAATCAGGAATGTGCCAAGATAGCATGAAATCAACTAAATGTAATTAAGCAAAAACTATTAGCTTGATTGCTAAACCAGTCTTCCTCTCATGAATATGCATGAGAATAATTGATATTAATTCTTTTCAAATCTGAGGCACATTAGTCCTGCATATTATAGTATAGAATTTTTTTGGAAGACTAAACCAGTTCCACTGCTGCTTTCCCACCAAAAGGCATAATTAGTCTTGCTGCAGTCATTGATACCATCCTGAGTTGCCACATGGAGAGGAAATTAGAACAGAGCTCAAGTGATTTTTTTGTCTGCAAAAAACAATGACCTGTTTAAGATTTTTTTCCAGAACTGTTTTACCAGCATCAGCCACATTAATGACGTTCTGAAGAGACAGGGAAGCCTTCAGGAACAGAGAATCCCTGGAGACAGAAAGGCAGGGGCAGTATCCTCTCCTGTTTAACGTGCCTGACACCGGCATGGCCCTATCAGCTGGGTGTCTGTCCGGGTGTCAGTGTGTCCGTGTGTCCGGGTGTCTGGGTGTCCAGGTGTCAGTGTGTCTGGGTGTCAGTGTGTCCGGGTGTCCGGGTGTCTGTGTGTCCGGGTGTCCGGGTGTCAGTGTGTCCGGGTGTCTGTGTGTCCGGGTGTCTGTGTGTCCGGGTGTCCGGGTGTCAGTGTGTCCGGGTGTCTGTGTGTCCGGGTGTCAGTGTGTCCGGGTGTCCAGGTGTCTGTATGTCCAGCTGTCCGTGTGTCCGGGTGTCCCTGGGCTGTTCCCGAGGGCTGACTTCAGCTCCCTGGGGTTGCTGCTGTCCCTGGGCTCCTGCTGCAGGTCATGAAATTGAATATTGACATTCTTCTTTTTTTCAAAAGAGACTTACGAAGCTTCTGCAGGTGGTGGGGAACACTTGCAGGATCACTCCAATCTCTCAGCACCTTCCCAGCTCTTAGTTCTTTATTCTACTAAAACCTTTTGCTTTCTTGTCAGCTTCTCAGCTCTCCCCCATGCCCCCACCCCTCCTCCTGTCTGCCAGTCAGACCTTGTGTCAGACAAAGGACTTTGATGCAGGAGTCCACCTTCCCAAGCCAGTGTTCCCAAGGCTTTTCCCTAGAGCAGAGCATGGAACCCTTGCTGACAGCTTTGGCACAAATCCAATGAAGTGTTTTAATCTCAAGTATAGATGGTTCTTCCCTTTATAAGCACCCCACACTGGATTAGATGTCACATATTTAATAAATAGCAACAACTATATACAAACTGTTTACAAAAGCAGCTGAAAACTAATCCTTGGCAACAAATCACTCATATTAGCATGGGGGCATAGCAAGTGGTGAGTAGAGCCAGTGGACAGCAAATCTGTGTGAACATAAAAGAAAAGGCAGCTCTAAATCAGCAGTTGAAGAAGAGAGTTTGATCTTGCCTCACTATGAGAGTTTTGATGCACTCAGGCTCTAAATATAGAGGATGAAACAGAACTGTGAAGATGTGTACTTGGTTCTTCGCTGGGGTGCCTTTTTCTTTTTTTACTTGTTTCATTCTTTGTTTGTTTTTTTATTGTTGTGTTGCTTTTGAGGTATTTTTAAACTCAGTTTGAGCTCAGAAAATGCTCAAACTCTTTGAAGTGTTTGTTGGAAGTCTGGGAATATTCACTCCATGCTTGCTGACTTCTGGACATTAACACGAGAACAAACCTTTGCAAGGCACAAGGGATAAACAGCTGCTTGGACAGCCCTTAGCTCTCCCACAGCTTTGCCAGCCTTTCCTATGTCCCAGAGGATCCCAGCAGGCACCAGAGCAGCCCTTCCTGCTCTCTTCTCCCTGAAAAGTGCGTTTACAGAAGGAAAAGGAACATAAAGCCCCACTGGCCATTTCCATAGGGAGCAGAGCCAGAGCTTTTTCATTTCTTGGAGGGGTTGGGCTGTTTGGTTTTTAGTGGTTGGCTTGCTGATATTTTGCACTTAATAAAAGTCACTTGAAACTGTTTGGAAAATGCAGGTGTGCTGCCTTCTAGTGAAGGTTTATTGAAGAGAGGAGAGGGGAAGAGAAAGGTTTCCTGCAAGTGGCAGCTGAACAGTGCCAGGTGGTACATCCTATTTTAATCCAAGTGGAGAATAGCAAAGAGCAGAATTGAAGATTAAGGGAAATGATACACCTCACTGAGTTTTAGTGCATTTTTCAGTAACTATTTTTATTTTTTTTCAATTTTGGGTTTCTGTGTTAATATAGGATGTTGCCACACTATACACTGGGTGGTAGAAATTAATCTTGTCATGAATGTACTTCTCTGAAGGGCTGAGCCTTCCTGAGCCCTTAATTTGAGCTGATTGGACTGGCTCATTATCATAGCAGCAGATTTTGGAATAGCAAAGTTGAACCTTACTTGAACTTGTTGGCTCCATTAGTGTAGTTTTTCTTTCTTGCCCCCACCTCCATCCATGAATAATAATACCCAGTGCCCCTTTTTGAAAAACCCTACCAACCATCCTAGTAACTATCTGCCAAACACACACACACTAATATTAAGAGAAGCACATTAAAGAGCCTGAGTTTTGTTTGGCAAAGATAGAACATGTCATTCCAGGGAAACGTGCCGTTCTGATGTCCTGGGAAACTGGATCTTCTGTCAGGCTCCCGGTCCCGTTCTCTCACACTTGGAGCTTTGCTGCCTGCAGAGCACACACAGCGTGGGGCCTGGGGCCACTTCTGCTCTGTGCTTGTGCTCTGAAATGTCACTGCTGTTGCTGGACGCTCCTGGCCCGCAGTTTTCCTCTCAGAGCAGGGCCCTGCCTGACTCATCCTGTGCTTCCAGGGAAAGCATCCTCATCCCCATCCTCCCACTGTGGGGGAGCAGCTCCAGCCTGCTCTGCATGTTTCGGCTCAGGCCGTTCCCCCGGACAGCCCCGGGCTGGGGCAGGGCAGGTGTCTGCAGGGCTGTGCCACCCACCTGCAGGGCTGGCAGAGCCCCCAGAGCCGTGTCCTGAGCCGCAGGGTCAGCGCAGCCTCCAGCCCTGCCGAGGCTCTGTTTCGCAGCAAGGCTGCACTGTCTGTCCCCAAGGAGCTCCGGCAGATGCTTCAGCTCCCTGCTCTGCCCTCAGGATAAACTGCTGAGACCACTGCAAATGCTGATTGCTGAGGGGGGTCACCTCAGCTCCCTGCAGCGCTTCCAGGGGCTCCCAACGCTCCACATGTCCGAGAACGGGCACCTCTTCTGCTGCTGCTGTTCAGCTTCATCCCGAGCACAGCACAAAACCCCAACAGGGCAGGATGTGGGCACTAAAACACAGCTTTTCAACACACACAGCATCCAGCATCCCTCCCTGACAGCACTTGTGACAGTCACCTGCTGCCTGGGGACCTGGCTGGTGGGAAACTGCTCAGCAGGTCTGGAAATGAGACACAGGGTGAGCCCAGCACAGGGACAAACCCACTGCAGAGGGGGGAAGACAAATCCAGCCCAGACTGTGAGTTGTTTAAAGAAGGCAAAATAATAAGGGAAAAAACATGCCGCGTGCCAGGGAAATAAGTTTATAAGAATTATCAAGGGATGTAGGAATAACCTTTCAATGGTTGCAGTCTGGCACAGATGTGAATGAACATCCCTGGCAGCTGAGGGCTCTCTCTCCATGTGTTACATGGAATGAGCTGGCAATTCCCACGGCAGTCCTGAACGGCCAGACTGCTCAGAGCAGCTAATATTGGCTAATTGTCTTCCTTTATTTCTTGGAAAGAAAAAGAGTCCTAAGGGCAGTGACACTGGAGCCATGTGTCCCAATTAACCCGCTGCAGGTTGTGTCGAGCTGGTCTCTCCTGCATCCCCTCTGTGAGGCACAAAGCGTGTCTGTTCCCATGGCCACTCTCCCCTGGGAAAGAAAGAAGGAAAAAATGTGCTGCTTTCTATTTTTGAATGTCCTGCCTTTCCTGCAGCCAGGCAAAGGGTCTGACTTTTTTTCACTCTCCCTCTTTCCCATTTCTCTGTCAATTGATTGCTCACTGCCAGAGGGCATTATTGGCTTCAAAAGCTTCATTTTCTAGTTCCTGAGCTGCTCATCTTCTCCTGGCTCATTGCTGTTACTGGAGGTCAGAGTCCCAGAGTCTTTAGGCTGTTTTGGATTTGACCTTGAGACCTTCTTTTGCTCACCCCACCACATGAAACAATCCTTTGATCATTGTAGGCACAAATGAAAAAAATAAATCCAGTGGGCAGAGATTATTTAATTATATCGGTGGTGAGTGGAAATAAGCTGGAACCAAAACATTCCCAGCCAGGTTTAAAGAATAGCAGTGCCAGGGGGCACCCCTGCTCTCTGTGGTGCTGGGGCCTGTGGCACGCACCAAAAACTTGCTTCAGCTCTGGTACCAGCTTTTCCTGTGCTTAAACTCAAGGGTTGCAAGATGCAGTTGTGTAATTTACATGAAAATTACAGCCTGTTCCTCAAGTATTTCCACCTGGAATGGAAATTCCTAAACTGCAACTTTCAGCAGTGGCCACTGAAAGCACAAGGCAAAAAAAGAGATGGGAGTAGTGACTCCTGAACTTCTGCGCTGTGCTGGCCAACCTCATCTGGCCTGGTTGGGGAACCACAGAAAAGATGGTGGTAAAAATGCAGGTTTTATTTTTTTCTTAACTAAGCTGCTTATATCCTGTTCCCTGCAGTATTCTAGAGAATTGTTTTGCAAGGTCTCATGAGACTGAAATCTGACATAAGGTTTCTGCTGTCCTCTGGGCAAAAATACCTCTATCAGTCTATTGAGTAGTCAGTGGATTTGTTCAGGGAGCGTTCCTGGGATCAGCATTACCAGGAACAGATCCTTTTCCTGCAGGCAGCAGGCAGGGGACAAGCTGTCCTCTTCTGGGGTGGATAAGCCAGACATGGAGCTGC